CCTGCTAGATTTGTGTTGCTGCTGCAGCTGCAGCAGCTGCTGCAGCCACTAACACACACTGTTGCTCTTTGTCTCAATATTCTGCAGCAGCAGCAGTTGCTGCTGCTGCTGCTGCTGCAGTTGCTGCTGCTCTTGCTGCTGCTGTTGCTGCTGCAGTTTCTCCTGCTCTTGCTGCTGCTTTTGCTGCTACTGTTGCTGCTGCTTTTGCTGCTGCCGTTGCTGCTGCTGTTGCTGCTGCTGTTGCTGCTGATGTTGCTGCTGCTGTTGCTGCTGCTGTTGCTGCTGCAGTTGCTGCTGGAGCCTCTCTCCCTCCCTTTCCTCCTACCCCCTAGGGTTTAGGGTTTAGGGTTTAGGGTTTACACATCTTTCAATACAAAACCCCCCAAACCACCGCCCAAAGCCACCCAGGTGCTGCAGCAGCTGCTGCAGCACCCCAACGAGGGTTTAGGGTTTACTGTGTAAACCCTAAACCCTCAAGGGTTTAGGGTCTAGGGTTTAGGGTTTACACCGCTTTCAATACAATCAATATACCCCAAACCACCGCCCATAACCACCCAACAAAAGGCAGCAGCAGCTGCAGCACGCCGATGAGGAGGTTAGGGGTTTCTCTATAAACCCTAAACCCTAAATAAGGGTTTAGGGTTTACACAGCCTTTAATACAATCAATATACCCCAAACCACCGCCCAGAGCCAACCAACAAAAGGCAGCAACAGCTGCAGCACGCCAATAAGGCGGTTTCCTCTATAAACGCCAAACCCTAAACCCTAAATAAGGGTTTAGGGTTTACACCGCCTTCAATACAATCAAAACCCCCCAAACCACCGCCCAGAGCCAGCCTACAAAAGGCAGCAACAGCTGCAGCACGCCGATGAGTAGGTTTTCCGTGTAAACCCTAAACCCTTCATTAGGGTTTAGGGTTTAAACCCTAAACCCTCAAGGGTTTACACAGCCTTTAATACAATAAGAATACCCCAAACCACCGCCCAGAGCCAACCAACAAAAGGCAGCAGCAGCTGCAGCACGCCGATGAGTAGGTTTGGCGTGTCTCCGCTTACAGCACCAATAACGATCATACCGACGCCAAAAAGGAGACAGTTTAAAACCCCTAAAAGTAAATAAAGGGTTTTGTCTGTTGCTGCTGGTGGTGATGGGACCTCTAGGGCCTTTAGGCGAGATATTATTGTCTCACATACACTCATTTTGATTAGGGTTTAGAAGGGTTTATGAGGGTTTAGGGTTTAGGGTTTAGAAGGGTTTATGAGGGTTTAGGGTTTTGAGGGTTGGTGGTGAAAAAAA